ATATAAATTAGTTAAAAAGATAATAATAAAGCTCTATATCTTATAGCTTTTTACTTAAAGAAACTATATAGTATAGAACTTAATTACTTTATTTATAATAAGGAGTTTATAGTTATTATATATATATTTAAGGAATTTAAGTATTATTACCTAGGAATAATATATAAGGTTAAAGTATATATAAACTATAAGAATATTTAATACTTTACTATAACTTAATAACTAAATAAAAGATAAATATATTATATTAAATACTTATCCTAATTTAATTATAAAATTATATATTAAAAAGGATTAGAAAATAGAAGAGTTAATACTTTTAGCTAGAAATTAGAATATAAAGAAATAATATTAAAAATTAATAAATAATTATTCTTAATAAATAATAAAGGATATTTAGTATAGAAATCCCTTAAAGCTATACTTAAGGAGATAGTATATACTAAAGTCTAAATAGAGATTATTTCTAGCTTAAAAAAACTATAATAAGAAGTAAGAATAATACTTATTAAAGAAGTCTATAAATATTTACTCTTAGGATATTAAGGAGTTAAGAAAATATTTAATAAGATTAAATAATATTATAATTACTTTAACTTATAAAAAGAAGTATAAACTATAGTTTTAGAATATAATACTTATATATAAATTAAATTAATATAATATAAACTATATAGAGAACTTAAACTAATCTTAATACTAAAATAATTATAGTAATTAATATCCTTTAACTATATTATTAAACTATTACTATTTAAAAAACCTATAATAAAAGTAAAATATAATAATATCTTAATAATTATTAATAAACTTATAAAATATAAATACTTTATACTATATAAGGAAGTAAGCTCTATAGAAGACCTTATATATTAAGTCTTATAATATATAATTATAAATTATAAACTACTTAATAAGATAATATTAAATAAAGGAATAATATTTACCTTTAAGTTCTAGTAATTACTTATAATATAAATAGATATAAAGTATAAGCTCTTAATAGCTTATTATCTATAAAGTAATAGATAAATAGAATATTTAAACTAAATATTAAAATAATACCTATAAATATATATTAATTATAAATAGAATAATTAAGTATAACTATTACTTATAATATAGATTATATATAATAATATAATATAAGAATTAACCTAATTATTATTAATATATATAAATTATAATTATAAACTAAAGTTCTTAAGTAAATTAAAACTTAATAAACCTATAGTACTTATTACTATACTTATAAAAGAAATACTATACTTATTATATATAGAAATATAAGTTAAACTAAAGTTTATATAATAAAGAATAAAAAAATACTATAATAAAATAAGATTAAAGGAATTAATCTTAAAGGAGGGAGATAAAGTTTATTTACTTTAAAAAAATATTATAATAATAAAGCTAAGTAATAAATTAAATTATAAAAAACTTAAATTATTTAAAATTAAAAATAAGAAATTAAATATTAATTATAAACTATTATTATTAAATATAATATATATTTACTTAGTTTTTTATATATTATTACTTAAAAAAGTATTAGAAAATATATTAAATTAAGATTATTTAATTAAAGTTTATAAAGAAGAATTTAAACTAGAAAAAGTCTTAAAAAAAGAAATTAAGAATAAATAAATATTCTATTTAGTAAAATAAAAGAGCTATAATAAAAATAATAATATATAGGAACTTATTAAATATTTAAAGAACTATTAGTATTTAATATATTAGTTTTATTAGGAAAAGAAGAAATAATAGCCTTACCCTAAGTAATAATATTAAAAGAATTAGCTTATATAATATTCTAGTTAATAACCCTAATAGTACTTTATAACTAAATCTTAGTAATTATCTTAAACTTTTAATACTCTAACTCTTCTAGCTTATTTAATAAACCCTTTCTCTTATAAAGTATTTCTAAATTATACTTATAAATTTATTACTTTTAATAATATAATTATATTAATTTATTTAAAGCTTTATTTATTTTAGCTTATACCTTTAGAAGATACTCCTTAGTAATACCTTCCTTATACTCTAAGTAATAATATTTATTTATAATATAATATATTAGAATAATAAGTAAAGAAAGAAATTTAAAGGAAGTATATAATTTCTTACTAAATAATATTATAATACCTAAATAGTTATAAAAATAACTATAATAAGTATATTTAAGATAATACTCCTCTATATTAAGTATAGCTTAATAATAGAAACTATTCTTTAAATAAAAAGAATAAGATATAATATCTATATTAAATTCCTTAATTAATAAAGCTTTAGCTTTATAATAATTAATAAAAGAAACCTTCTTTCTAGCTATAATAGTTAGTAGAATATAAGATATATAATAAATAAAGGAAGAAGTTCTACCTAGGCTATAGAATATAGTCTTAAGGATAAAACTAATAGGGAGGGAGTAATATATTACACTTTAGTTATAAGCTACTTTACACTTATATTATATAATATACTTAAAGTATTAAGAAGGGTGCTTAAGACTAAGTACTAGGTAATTATAACTAAATATACTTTACTTAATCCTAATTACTATATATAAATATTAAGTACTTTAATATATATATATATTTATTTCTTAAATAGAAATACTCTTTTAGATAGTTATTAATATAATTATCTATATATCTATTATTACTAGCTTTATAATACTTATATATTAATAGTGATTTATATTATATAGCTTATAATAACCTAATTATACTACTTAGAATAATACTCTAATTAGTTTAACCTTAATCTACCTTAGACCTAGTTTAGTATAAGTTATTTAACTATTATAAATATTTAATTATTAATTTTAGTATATTATATATTATATTAAATTAATTTAAGTAAAAATAGCTTTTATTTAAGTTTTAATTTAATAGATTAATTTAAATTTAAGCTTATTTAATATAATATAATAATAGTAAGTAAGAGAGCTATATAGTTATATAATAGCTATTAAAAAAAAAAGGGAAATTCCTAAATATTAAGAATTAAATAACTTAATATTATATCTAATATTATAATATATTAACCTTTAGCCTTTTTACCTAGCTATAAGGCTTATACCTAGCTATATATAAGGTTTAATACTAATAATAGCTTATACCTTAAATATAAGTCTTTTATTAATATAACTCCTTTTATAAACCTTAAAATACTACTTTCTATCTATTTAAAGGCTACTATCCTTAGCCTTAGTAGGAAGATAAGGTATATACTACTATAAAAATATAATATAATAGAAAAGCTTTTAGGAAAGGTTATTATATTTAAAATTTATAATATTTATTAAAAAAGTTAAATCTATAAGGTTAAATTAATTAATTATATTTATAAGTATAATATAATATTTATTATAATAAAATCTTTATTATTAGTATATAGCTTAATTAATTCCTAATACTTAGTAATTTATATAGTTATATATTATATAGTAATTACCTTTATATATAATAAAAAGAAATAAATAATTAATTTATTTAACTTTAATAATTATATTTTTAATAAAATTAACTTCTTTAAAAAGAAGGATTTAAATAATTAAAATATAATTATTAAAATATACTTTTATTAATTAACCTTTTTAATCTTAAAGTATATATTAATATAAAATAGTAATTATAATTATTATAATCTTTAATTATTTTAATTACTTAATATTAATAACTTAATATATAAAATATTAACTTAAGAATAATAAGTATTTATTATAAAAATAATTATTAAAGTTATTTAAGTTAATAAAATATTTATATATAATTAAAAAGAAAAGAAAAAAGAAAAGAAGGAAGAGAGATAAATAGCTAAGTTAATTAAATATAAGCTTATTTATCTCTTTTAAATATATAAATATATATAAATATATACTTATCCTTATATCTCTTTTAATTTATTATAGTATTTTAATATATTTAATTATATTAATAATAACTAAAATAATAAATTTAAGTATTATTTTAATTAAATAAACTTTAATTATTTAAACTTAATTTTAAAGATATTAAATAATAATAAAACTCTTCTTTATAATATTTAAGAAAACCTTTAAAGTTTTTAATACTTTAACTTAAATAAATATATTTAATTTAAAGAGGTATATTAAAACTAAAGTATTATATAATTTAATATAATTAATTAAATTAAAGTTAATTTAATATAAATATATCTTTTTTCTTAGATTAAAAGAGCTTTAAACTTAAAGGAGAAGTATATAGTAATTTATATAATTATCCCCTCTAGAAGTACTAGAGATATATAACTTAGATAAATATAATTATAATTTTTGCCTATCTAAATATATAAAATCTAATAAGGGAATAGTTCCCCCTACATTACTTTTCTTCCAAATGGTATTAGACGGCGAACCCCCCCAAGGAGAGTCAACGGTGAACGTGCATCAATGGCTCGATTGGTTCATTGTTGAACCCTCTTTTCGAGACTTGGGGCCGAGCCGCATGGCCAACAACTGGCATTCGTGGTGGTGTGAGACTATATATTGACTATTGACGCCACTGGAAACTTTCAAAGCCTCGTTTGCCGTTTCTCCGACGGCCATGTCATAGGCTCTGAGTAGAAGATACCCAGATTTGTATATTAGCAATTGCATATAACGAGTCTGAAAACTACCAAGAAAATCGAGTGCAATGGTCGTGATTAGGACATCAGACTGGTTCCTTAGGCTCGGGTTGACTGCACTTATCACGCCAAGTCGCGACGACTACATTGCTAGGGCATATTCGACCGTTGTAGAGCAAACAATTCAAGATTAAGATGGTATAGTTCATGTCTCACGCTAAAATGGACGGATCGAGAACCAGATCTCAGCTCCCGCCCCCGCGAGGTCAGCCGCAGTAACTAGAACCATGGTGGGACGTATTCCTTAGAATCAGCTAGTGAATATCGCTATGGCAGAGAGAGCCTGGAGCCCAACAGTTACAGTTTTCATTTCCCCTCCAGGTCACACGGGACCCAAATTGTTACCGGAGCCGCCATTCAGCTGGCTGCAATATCTTGTTGGGCCGACTGTACCAAGTGCCATCCCTCCCACTGAGCTTCTCCAGGCCAGGACAAACCATAATTGAGTGACTGCTCTGGTCATCGTCTACAATGTAGACGAACTGCCAATCATTGGGATGTGAAAATATCTTGTAGCCCAACTTGGCGCATTCTATAGCAACATCCTCGAGATGCTTCTTTTGGCCCTGATTCGCAGCGAAATGCTGTAGGAAGGAGTCGAGAGTCTCAACCAAAGGACGAACTTGGTAGTTTGCCGTCGACTCTGGGAAGGGGAGAGCAGTTCGTTCAGAAGGTGTTGGGTGAAGCAAAAATGCCGACAACCTTCGCCAAGTAGACATGGCAAGCGGAATTCCTGAGCACACCATTGTCAACATCGACTGCTGGGCGCTCCGAGCGATCAAGCTTTTTCAAACACATACCTTTAGACTGGTTCTCATGCCTGGTCCTCGTTGGAAGAGACTCTAGGAATATTGATACAGGTAATGGGAGCATCAGATTCTCTCCTGGCTGTTGGAAGTCTATGTTCCTGAAAAGGACATAGGAAATGATATGCCTGAGCCCGATTTGACGTGTGTTGGGGTCAACACACAATGCAGCAAGATACTCGGGCCTAAGAGCATGATGCTGGCCCATTCCGAGGGCTGCAATCATTGGCCCGAGGGCGTTCACGCTGTGCTGGATGGGGCCCAAGTGGTAGTTGCTCTCAACATGCTGGTAAATTAATTCTCCAAGGGATTCTACCTCTGAAGCGAGTTCACCACCAGCGACACCGTCCAAAAGGAACGGGGCGAGGTCCGACTCGATGATGGGGTTCCCCCCTGCCACCGACGGGCTATTGCTGCCTTGGGCTTGAGCAGGTATTGGCGATTCCCTCTTTGGCTCGATGATTTCACGCGTGGACGACGAGTCTCTCGACTGCTTATGCCGGCGACGGAGCAAGAACCAAGCTGCAATGGCCCCAACCAGGATGCCAGCAATGAGACATCCGACTGCGACACCTGCTACTGCACCACTAGAAAGCCCGTCCGGGGAAGGGCTCGGTTTTGTTGAATCGGCATTAATTCCATCTGCTGACTTTGTTGTTGTACTCCCCACAGAGGCCATGGCAGAAGAGGTGGTGGTGGTGGTGGAAGCAGCACTGCTTTGTGTCGTTGTCTGGGGTTCTGGCTGCCCAATAAAATCGCTAGGGAAAGACATGTTCACGATGAAGAAAAGGAAACAGTAAGGGTAGTTGAGCTTCAGAAGAGTGATGTAGAGCTGGCAACATGAAGTCTGCCTGCGTTTGCCTGATACTGAAAAGCAGTATTTGACCTGAGAGTCGGATGAGTGATCTAATTATATAAATATGCTTTGTCTGCAGCCGTGTCAGCCTTGCCGCACTAAGTCGCGGCTGAGAACACCACCAGTTCCTTGAGATAGATACTGCAAACCGGAAACAAGGCACGAGGTGGCGTCAAGGGATTCACCAAGTCTCGGGTGGGTAAGATTCGCTCGCTTCTTCCTCAACTTGAGTGGTCTAGTCTTATATGGCTCTTCCTTCATACGCTGCTGTTGACGTATGCATTCCCCAACACGAGGAGAGCCTCGGCCTCTTGTCAAGAATCTGGACCACACTGTTCCCTACAGTCTGTATATGACGTGCACATACGCCAATGAGCGAGAACAGGCCACCAGCCGCCCATTCAATCGTCGATCCCTTGCCACTAGTCATGGAGCTGAGTGGACTAAAAAGTGCCTGTCAAATTGAGCATTGACTAGACTTGCCCGTTATTACCAAGGATGTTTCGCCTGACTGTCTCATACTGCGACCCTACCTCAGCCCTACTATGGCTCCGGCTCGTAAAGACCAGGTCTTGTGTTGTTTTGAAGCTACGACTGCACGAGCATGACATGTAACACCTTTTCCATATCCAAGAGTCCGGGTCAAGACATTGATCAGTTGTTCACAGGAAACTACCACAATGATACAACGCGCCGTGGACGTACAGTCTTAACCACTCTGGTCTATAATGCAGATTGGACCATCTCATCTTGGGGGGTTTCTTGCACCGACAACGATGACCATATAGGCCCTTCAGAGACCCGGCGCGAGTTCTTCAAGATTTTCTTGGATAACAACACCCTTGCGGTTGCTCACCAGAATGGCCTCCCATGTATTCCTGAGAGCACAACCCAGGCTTAGCGGTTCATCATAGACTATTAGAGGTGGGTGTACAGCCGTGTCAAGGAAATAATTGAAATCTAGATCAGGAAGCAAGCCTCTTGGGTTTAGGGGTTAATGAGTGTCTTCTTCCTTTTTAGCATTCCTACTGCATAGATCAACATGACGATCATCAATACTCTTAGACAATATATCAAAGAGGCTGGGTTTGGTACAGAGGGGCTAGATCATATCACTGTAGTCGACCTAAACGGGGTGGAGGTAGGTTCAATCACAACCCTCAAAGCAAGTGCTGTTGAATTTCAAAAGAGTCAACTCTTTCTCACCATGGATACTGGCGGCGGCCCGACAGACTTTGCCTTGATGCGTATCATATCCACAGAATTCGAATTCCCTAAAATTTCCCGGTCTCTGCGGTCACAGGAATCCGGGTCGGCTCTTCCATGATTGACAGAGCCTTCCTTCATCTCGTCAGTCAGAGGCAAACTCTTTCCCCCAGATCCAGTGAGGATGCCGAGAAGCCACCATTTTAAAAATCTTGGGCACCGATTCGGAGGCAAGATAAATTACGCCCAGCAAGATATTAGAACACAGGTGGATGGTGTATCTTATGCATTTAGCCACCAAGGACTCGGGATTCAGAATGGCCGGATGGTCTTCTCCCGGTAATCTCCCTCAAATACAAACCGAGGTCACCCAGCATTGTTGATAAAAACAGTGAGGAGATACAGAGTCTGTTACAGGATTACATGTTTTTGGCAGGAGGTTTGAGTAGTTCGGTCTATGTGCGATAGATCGTTCAACAATGAAATTCATTCCAAAATCCCAACGCCAAGCAATGTATTGTCATTCCATGCCAGGAACCTCAGCGTGAGGAGCAACTTGACTGTATTTCAGCAAGACCAGCTAATTACCAAGTACAAGAGAGGGGCCTAAGTTAGAAAAGGTAAGAACCACTGTATTTCAGCTTTGATTTTCGAGTAATTGTAGGCTCGGCTGACTTGCGATTCGAACTTTGGGTTGGTGGACGCGAGTGGTTGGGTAACCATGAGGCCATCAGCATGCAATGGGACGGAGCTAATAGTATAAGTTATATCGTTCTTCTAGAACTAGGCTGGGTTCTTGAGAAACAGCAACGCATTAATCATGTAATTGGAAGCTAGATAGACGAATGGGGCAAAGGACTACCATGCTCTCAATTGCCATCAGTGTTGTTTAGGGTTTTTATAGAAGTGTGAAATCGCTGATTCCATGGGGTGGATCTCATAGTTATCCAACTACTCCAAGAAACCGCACCAAAGAGACTGGGCAGATAACTTCGATCAGGTCCCTTAATGTGAGCTCTCCCTCCGGTCTCTGCGCAGCTAAAGGTTGGCCATTGATAATAAGTATTAGTTCCAGAAAGACATTTTCGCCTTTTATTCGTGGTTGTTATGGCAATAGCCATTCCAGAAAGATTATTGCTGGCGAAGCCGGTTTGTTGGTCTCGTGAGCGAGGTAATTATGCCATTATTTTGTTTGGAGGTAGGAGACTAGGTGTTGGTGGAATCACCACATTTTCCAGTGATTTTTACAATTGATCCATCATATTATTATTAACGAATGAAAGGCTAGGGCTAACCCCTGATTTGCGGAAGACTGACAAAGTCACCTTGGGATTCGGGTCTACCGAGAATCCTTGGCCAAAGCAGAACCGAACAGCGCTTTTCACTTTTGTCGGACTAGAGGACTGCATAGGAGAGTTCTTTGAAACATAAATTGAATCTAGCAAAACGGCTATGATAGTACAAAGTAGCTGCATCTAGAGGACAAAACGGATGACACAAAATCGTGAGAGGCCAGAGCACCGTGGACAACGTCCTAAGATCACTTCTGGGCTTGATGTCCTCTGGTTGATAGCAATAACCCCAATAGTACGCAAACAGTATGTAAAAATTAAACCAGAGTTTAGTGTTATGTCGCCATAACATGCTGCCGTATGCATTAATTTCCTGGATATGAGTCGGAATACTTGTGGTGAGGCATCTGGTTGCCGAATCTTCTAAAAGGGTGGCCTTTCTCTTTTCATACCCTACCGTAGGTAGTTTTAGGCGCGAATGCTAATACGATCAACACCCTTTCTGTAATCAAACCGTCACGCAAGAAGAGCGTGTCCGTCTTTTGTTTTTGAAGGTGGGGCTCTCCCCTGAGATGATGCTCGCATTCGGGTGACGCGTTGGTATTCAAAATATCTCATAGCGGCGCTTTCGAGGTCTAGCTGCTCCATCAGACGCCATTTCGCGTACAGGAGGCCTAGCCATACGGCGAAACCCACGCAGCAAGGGTTGACGATAAAAAGCCCGATACTGATGGGGTTCCGGAAGTCAACTCCGAAGGGAATTGCAAGGCAGCTGAGGAAATCTATAGAAAACGAGATGCATAGGATGGGAAAGTATGCGTCGATTGTATCATCATACATGCCCGGGTCCTCTTCCAAGAAGACGCAGATGAAGCGAGGGACATGTAGTGTTTTCTGTGTCCAGCGTCCCCAAGCGATAATGGTGCCCCTGTTGACAGCCACGACATGTTGGATCATGGTATACACTGCTGGTAGGGAAATCTCACAGCAGAGGCGTATCACATCAACACCGAGTTCTGACATGCTGACTGTCGTATTGCGAAGAGGATACTCCTTAGCGACGCTCGAGAAAATAGAAAGTTGCAATAGTGTAAAGGATTGGCTTCAGGCTGAACTGGTATGAGATCGCGAAAGGGTTGATGATTCGTTTTTATTCACAAAAAAGCAGGTCTTGGCGTGCTGTGCTCATGGTCAGTCCATAGAGTTTGTTGGGGAGAGCGACGGACGGCAGTGGATGCTCCCCAAGGTCCTTGATCAAGGTTCGAACCATGGCTACGGAAGACACCGTTGCACTTCCAGGTAATTCACAATACTGCCTAAGGTTCAAGACCTCTCCCTCTTTATCATCCTGTGCTTTTCTAGAACGACATTAAGGCTAGTATCATTTCGCAAGAGTTTGGCACACCTTTATTCGACAATTTCTTCACGTCTCGGAATTCAAACGCCCTTTACTAAGGTATTCTCTTCATCAAGAGAAACCTCGGGCGTACCTCTCAGGAGGCTAGCCGCTTCATTTCCTAGAATCTTGGTGACAAGTTGATCGGACAGGAGGCGACGGGGTCGGTGATGGCTAGATGGGAAGCCGCCAACAGGGGTACTCTCTGGCAAAACCTGAACGTGCCAACACATCTCAGAGGATAAATGGGTAATCCCCTTTACCATGCTCGAAATTTCGTGTATCCAGGAGCTGCCCCCCTCCCGTTGATTGTAGGGATAGGAATCAACTCTATCTGCAGTATATTGTCTTTTTAAACCCTTTTATTCTAAGTGCGCCATCTATTGCTCGGCTTCAGGGGCAGGGTGAACTGGAAGCTCTTTCTGCTGTGCACCAGGGTGGCGGGTTCCCTTATCCTTAACCTTCTTCTTCTTTTCCTTGACTGGGGCGGGGTATGCCTTTTCTGCTATTTCTTGCCACTCAGGAGACGCCTTGAAGGCTTCATTAATTGGGGCAAGAAGCTCATTGAGAGCCTTGGCAACTGCAGGCTTGAGCAGTTGAGGAGTTAGCTGTGAGTTGTGGTTAGCAATGATCGTGATTGATATAACAGTATAGAATGATTTCCGTGGAGATGACATACCACATCGTTTTTGTAATCCTCGTGCATCTGTGCGATGGTTGTGTAAACGAGAGGCTCGAGCCCATCCCTCTCACGCTCGACACGGAACTCTCGGTTTCCGCGCAAGGCCGAGACAGGAAGTAAAACGTATTCAACGAATGCCAATACGCCATTCTCTTCTACAACCTTGGGGGCGGCCATGGCCTTCTTGATCTTTTTCGTTACGACCTCTGGTGTGTCAAGGAGATCGATTTTACTGTCTGTAGAGTCCAACGCACGAGGGCACGTGTCACCAGGAATTCCAGGCATTTGACAATGGATTTGGCACCCAGAAATGAGGTACGGGACTCACCTTGTTCACTTGCGCTCATTTTGCCGCCCTGTAAGCCAGGCACCATAGGGTTGCATAGATGGGCACGCTATCGGAATGTCAACTCTGCTCTCTTGCCAAGAAGTCGTGTTGTGGTCTAACCTCGCGGTATCCTAGCCTTGGGAGCCAGTCCTTGGCAGCAATGAACAGCTTTCGTTGGTCCAAGCCTGGAGTAGATCCCTGTTAGTGAAGCTGAAATAGTCCATAAAATATCTGGAGGGAATGCGTGGCCAGATAAATACCTCCAAATTGAGCATCGACATCCAGGTACTGCTCGTCTAAGACCTGCAGGATAGGGTAGAGAAGGCCACTCAGGGGAGCATTGTCGGTCTGCTTGACCACTTCAGCTCCTGCTCTCTTGGCGTCGTGCTCGGATACCACAGACGCCAGCTTGTAGACATCCATGACATATTCGGGGCTTTTTTGGTAAGAGCTTCCAAGAACAAACTTGAGCTTATCGATCGGTACTCCAACTGCCTTGAGCATAGAGGAAATAATCAAGCGGTAGTATTCGGCACGAAGAGCGACCAATTCGATGGGAGCCTTGAGGTTGTCGAGGAACCCGTGGATATCGGCGAGAAGAACGGTAACGTGGCAGCCTGCGGCGAGGAGCTGGGCAATCTTCATAGCAGGAACCAGGTAACCACAGTGAGGGCGACCAGTTGTTGCCGTTCCTAGGAACTCAGTTAGCAAGCAAGCACCTATACTAGTTGGGCAGAGGAACCAATCTCCTACCCCAGTAAATCTTGGGATGGCCTCCTTCAGCCAAAATCTTCTCAATAATCTCAGGGTTCAGAAACTCGGCCAAATTCTCCCGGATGAGAGCGAGTCTCTCAGCTGCCCCAGTGGGTTCGGCCATTGTGTTGGATGCGGGGTTGCCCTTGGGAGGCAATTGAATACGTCCGAATGATGGAGACACTTGGAGCAGTTACTTATTCTCAAGGAGAGTGATCTTATCCTGAGGGCCAGGCCACGCGATCGGTTTCGGTCTAGCAGATGGTGGTCGCGGGGAGGTTTTTGGCGGGGTTTTATTTATCCAACTGCCTGACTCATATTGGGCATGAGTCTTAACGGCCGAAGTTGCGACTTGCTTGGTGGGTTAGTGGGGTAGTTGGCCTGATAAGATAAGGGAGCGGCTGGACGTTGCCTGAGACGAGACAACCTACCAAGCCTTGTCTCGCTACGAATGCGAAATTGCTTTGGTGTGCAACGCCAAGGTACGTGATCCTAGGCCGCTCCCATCTGAAGCTTTAGTTCACTCCATAGCTAGACTACTAGGTAGGCTTTGCTGGATAATCGCTTGGCTAGATGGATTACAACGTTGCCTTTGAGGAACAGGCTCCCACGTGAGATTCTTGCTGAAGTACGCGGCAGAGAGTGATTGGCCCGGCCCCGGATTCTCGTGTCAAACTTCGGGGGCGGCGTATGACAATATGTCCAATTCTGAGTGACAGTGATAGCAATGGCAGATATGTTAATAGCGAAGAAGGGTTATTGAATGAGGCTACAGATCGGCTCAGACATTTGAAGTTGGGTTGGACCAGTGGCTGCACCCCGCTACTCGCATGACCCCACTCATGGCGCACGCTCTTCACCTCTCTTGACAACACACACAGGCCAGAGATACTGTCCGGCCGCCCAGTAGTAAGAACACAGACTGGACTTCCAGTGAAAGAAAATCACAACATGGCTATCCCAAATGAGAAGCTGCAGAAGGTATGTTTGTGACAGCACACCGAGCGATTCTCCTCTTCAAAATGATTGAGCAAGCGCTGACTAAAATGCCCATCAAGCTCGTCCAGGAGATCGAGACCCAAGCGCTTGTCGCCCAACAGCAAATTGGGCTGGCCCGCGGTCAGATGGCCTCGAAGCAGCGTGAGCAACGCTTGGTTAAACTGACCCTGAGCGAGATGGCTAGCCTCCCCGATGATGCCGTAGTCTACGAAGGCGTCGGGAAGATGTGCGTGTTCTTGCCCCTTTCCCCCCCCCCCCCCCCCCCCCTCGGCTTGGAAATGATCATTTCACTATTCTCCCACCGACCGGGGATGAATCTAATGAAAATCTTCATCTTGGGGATGCTCAGTGGCCGAGATTGACTGACCGAATCTTCGAGCAGGTTTGCAGCGTTGCCCGTGACTGCTCTACGGAAGAAGCTGGATAACCAGACCAACGATCTGGATGGCGAGGTGGAAAAGCTGAGCCAGCGCCTCCTCTACCTTGAGACAACTCACAAGAACAGCCGCGAGCATATTGAGCAGATGCTGCGTGGGCGCTAACTGTGACACCGATCCCTATGCACCTGCGTCCACTCCCCCCTTCTCCTTGCTGGAATTTGGGGCTAGATCAGCCAATCCAGGTGCTGTATCACCGGCCCACGGGCACAGATAACCGCCATGCCACTGGACTTGGATGCATGATCAAGGAGCGACATTAAGATGGAGAGGGATCTACAGAGAAGATGGGTTTAAGACGGCCCTGCCCTGGCAACTATTAAAAGAAGGGCAGTGGGGAGAAACTGAACGCGTGAATCTGGGCTAGACGAGGTTGTTATCTGTTGGCAGTGAAGGGGTAAAAGTTGGCGGCTACGTGTAACCAAGCCTGACCGCGCGCGTAGCGGTTGGCGACGGGAAGCTCCCTGGCTTCAGAGCAGCCGTAACGGGGTGGGAAAGCGACTAATCGACATGCACGATCGATGACGGATAAGCTATCTATTGAGCGGGATGGGATCCGCTACTTTAAATATATTTGACTTGAGCCTCAGTTTGATGCCTTGGTATATATGTTGCGAGAGTGGTGTCTTGTCCATAATTAGAATTAAGCAGACGATCCTTCCCTGCCGTGGAGGGAGGGGTGAGCAACTGCGACCAAGGTACATGTACCTACCGAGGTGCCAACTTGGTGGGCACGGTGTCCATGTGGGTGGGTGTAGTGGCTTTGGATGAGAGGGCGCGGCCGCACACGCATTATAACATAGCATGTCCTGCAGCATCCTTGCTGCAGAAACGTCTCAGGTGCGCTTTGCTTCATCCCAGATCGTCGGATTGCTTTGTCTCACACAAGCGCCGGAGTCCCACGTTTCATCTCGGGGGCGGGCAGCTTCCAAGGACGCCAAACAGACGGAAGGCCGAAAAGAGGATACGTTGCGTCACCGCAGGCCTAACCACGATGCTTGCTTCGAAGACTCTGTTGGGCAACTGATGAATCGATGCCTATATTACACCCTCTATTCTTGCATGACTGGGGGCTCCGGTACTTGCTGGAGGGGACGGGTCCGGGAGGAAGCGTTGTCCGCAGCCTGCCACCAAGTCACATTTAGGGAAGTATTCTGCGCACATGCCCAGCCCTACGAGCCACCCGGGCCTGGGCCTATGTAGGCCATGGAGGTTGGCTGTAGCAGACACTACTACGGAGTATAGCGCCCCTCCCACCCCATTGTGCCTGATGGGTCGGTTTGCAGAGCCTGGGCGCCTCTGAATGGCCCAAATCGAAGCTCCGACACCCCAGCCACCGCTCCAGGCTCCTCCATCCCACCTCACCAGTCCACCCTCTCCACCGCTCCTGTCTGTCTGTGATTTGCGGGCTGCAAGAGCAGGACCAACAGTGCCTCATGTTCTCCAAGACCGGCGGGAAACCAAAGGCGAAAACAGGCGCTTCCAAGTACCCACAACCTTTGCAGATTAATTATAGTACCTTACCTACCTACCTATCTGGAAATGATGCCCAGCTGTTGGTCCTCCATGTGCATGTCCCGCCATGGGTGTGCAGGTGTTGCGTAATTCATCGGCAGTGAGCTGAAAATCACTTAAGCAAGGGAGGTTCGTCTGACCCCTCCATCCCCTCTTCCTG